TCAACGGCTCGCGAAAAGTCTGTGTGCGAAACTCGCGGCGTAACGCCAAATACCATCGAAGATACCGGCTTGCAGGATGTTATAGGGATAGAGAGGGTGCGAGGGAGGGAATAGATATGCCCTGCTACAAGCCAAGGAAAGATTTATGATGGTCGTGCGTCAGCTCTCACATCTCAATTTCGGGAAGCCGCAAGTCAGGAACCATAGCGCTCCCTTTGTTGCTGCCAGAAACGACCGTCGAGGACGAAGTGATAAGAAAGAAGCTGCCGCCAAGAAAAAAGAAGGCTGGAGATAAAGATCGGACTGAGCGAAGGGATAGGAAAACCAGCATACACCAATAATATTTCCCATGTTCTTTCATCCACCACGCCATTGTCTGCCGTACGTTTCTACCCAACGGCGATGCCTGCAGTTGTAGAAACTCCAATTGTCAATATCGTATTGCTGTCCCTCATTGTGGTTCAATTGGCCGTGAACGCGTAGAGGTAATAATTACATGACCAATTGGAAAGACTATAAACCGATACAGAAATCAACGTAATTTGCATCGAATGAAAATGAAATGCACCGGTACAAAATAAGATCCGGATTAGCGTGATCATTCTTTCCTGAATTAATCCAATCTAAATTATCCACGTGACATTTCCATCCACTTACGGATGCAACGATTTGGTTTGCTGGACAGAACCGACGTTTAAAGAAACGAATTGAACCAATCTCCGATTTATCAGTCCTTAATGGCTCCAATTTCGTTTTCTCAACCTGGCAACCCGTGTAATTACTTTATAGAAAATAAGGGGTATAAATTAAATACATGTCTCTTGTATCAGTGTAATTTTCTTATACCCACGTATTTTAAACACTGATTATTTTTGAAATGGTGTGAATAATTTTAGCATCTTGTTCTACATGTCCTATTATTTTTCACGATTCTTACGGTCAGTTTTAATCCAAGTACAACAATTCTACATTCAACTAAACGTTTATTCGAACAATAAAAGAATACGACACGAAAAATATATACAGCAGATTCACAGACATTAAACTATAAACTGATAATTTCAAATCATATGTTTTTATTCGTTAGAATCTGAAACAAAGAAATATATTCCAACACCTTTTATATTATTTCTAATTGCATTAGCACTTATTTGCACAGATTACAAACAAAAAAAAACAATATTTAGACCGCATATAATAATGTGTGTAAATATTTTTCACTCATTCATTCATAATGAAATGTCAATTTCTCTAATACACTCAGAATCATTGCATTCTACCTTGTAAAAGAGGCAAAGTGCCAAACATATTTGAGTTAATAGCTAATACGGCATTCAGCAAATTATTCAACTGGTATATAATTTCATCATCATTAAGAAAGCATTATGTATCATCAAAATGTGCTGCTTGAAAACGCCATTTCACCTGAACAATGGAGTTTTTCAATGTAGAGTGATTCAAAACCAAAAAGTTGCATCATCTATCGGTTGTAAACTTGCAGAGTTCGATAGTTCCGTGATAACTTGCCCCTGAATCGAATCTGACCCGTGTTAATTTCTCTTTCGCGCGCCTCACTATTTCAAGTTTACTTGACGATCAACTATTTGTCAATCATTCGTAAGAAATTCATTCTTTTTCGTATTATGACGTTTACGTTGTATAATTGAAGACAACTGTTCAAACTAACAGAATTCGAATCAGAAGACAAGAATAAATGTTTGAAATTTAGTGATTTTAACAATTTTAATGTTCTTTTAGGTTTTTATATTTCATAAATTTATTTAATTGTATTTTGAAATTGCCAATTCTAAATTTTTACTAAGCTATTTAAATTTATAAAAATAATGCACGTGTTTATTAATTTTAGAATAGTGTATACATCCACTTCCCGTAAAAACGTTTTTATGAAAAATATACTATAGCTATAGAAAAATAATATAATAAACCATATGGAAATTCATGTTAGACTTTGGGTGATTATGTTAAAGCAAACCAAATTGCGTAGAAAGAAAATAAACTTTTTTCTAATTCATGTTCAATCGAACGAATTCTGTGAAAGAAAAATAATTCGCGTTGAATCGAAGTCGTTTTTAAAATGGTTCGCGTAAAGACAGAATTTGGCGTAAGTAAATAAAGCGATAATAAAAGTTCTCTTTTATCTTCGAAGCAATCGGTTCCTTCACGCACATATTCTTTCGCAATGCATCCAATAATTCAATTTCGAAAGAAAGATACCAAACAGCAGCAATTTTTACGTTTTCACAGCTTCCGTAATATTGAGAACGCAACACGAAATATTCAGTAGTGCAATTTCTCTTTCGATAAAGTTGCACGCTGTTTCATTGAGGATTTTTGAAGAAACTGATCCGACGATCCTTCGCGTTCTCGACTTACGACGCGACGATGAACAGTCCACCAGTAAGAATCATAGGACAGTAGCTTTAGAACCAGTTTTACGTTATGTATACTAGGTCGACCGGAAAGTTCGTCCCGCTCTGAAGCATAGAATTGTAGCTCGTAGTATACCGTTTGTATCGTATTTTACGACCAATTATAATTTTTACTTTTATCCACAGCGTCGTCTCATTTTCAAATGATTTCATTATCGCAATCACATTAAATTTTTGTTGTTCGGGATAAAAGCCCTTTAACACGTTGTACGATTTCATCAGTTTCAAGGCTTTTTCCTAACGCGAAATATTCCAGCGGCCCGAACGAACGATTTTATAATGAAGTAAAGTTTGATGAAAAGGGTGAACGCTATAAAATGTTTCGACCAAAATAATACGTTTTCATACATGCATAATGTAATGTACATTTTCTCAAGTAAAATGTATTCGCGCGACACTACACGTTCATTAAACAAAACCATTTTCTAAATCGTTTGGCTGAACTTTCCACTTGATTTAATAGACCTGCTTTTTATCAAATCTAGTAATACCAACTTACATATACGTTATGTAAGTTAATTTACGAAGGTATTTGTTTTCCCTTAATTTTACACATGCAATTTCAAATATATATTATTATTCTTGTTGTCTATTTTAAATACTGTAGTACTTCATAGTTGGACCGCATACGAACGAAAACATTTTATAGAATGATTAAATTAAGTGTCTATACAATATCATCTATCGTTCAACGGATGCAAGGTCACCTTAATTCAACTATTTCTGTTGCATTAATGAAGTTATTCTACGTCAACGTGTCAGATAGAATTGTCCGATTTTCGAAAATCTGTGTAGGAGACAATAATCAGTACAGTGAAATAAATGCAAATAATGTAAAAAACTTATCTACCTATCTTTTTATATCTTTGGACAAAAGTTTCTTCATTAGTACCATGCAAAACAAAATCTGTTTTTCTAGCTTTAAAATAAACCTTTTTTTAAAACAACCGCTATACACGGAATATAGAATGAAAACTTTCACTTAAATGAAGACAACATATTACACAAATTTGAACAATTCTAAAAGACGATATTAAAGCATTATTTCGATTCAGCTAATTCGCAAAGATCGCGACACGTCCACGATTCATCGACTCCAGGCTAGCTCCGTTGAAAAGGTAGCGGTTTCATTCAGAATGCAGAACGCATAGCTTGATCCAAGATAATGCTCATTAACCGATCGTCGAACGTGAGGAGCATCATGGCAACACTCCTCGATCTGATGTTCTCGTCAAATCGGAAAGAATAGCGATAAGCGAAATCGGAGGAACTCCGGTCACGCACGCGTTCCAGGGTGTACAATTACAGTCGGTCGTAACGTTCGACCATCAATACGAAATAGTTCGCTTCGATTTCATTCTGTGAACGGCGTTCGAAGCATCGCTTTCTCAAGAGACATTCACATTTCTCCACAGATCTTAGATCAGAATAGTGTTGTAAAAATGAGTTCTGAATCTCTAAAGCTCGAGCGTTGAGCTCTAAAAGTTGAAGTCTTCAGCGCTCGAGTTTTGAAGCTTCGAAGACTCAGCCTTTCAGATTGAGCATTGAAGCATCGAAAACTCGAGCTGTATTGAACTCCAAGCCTTCAAAAGACTCAGCTTTTAAGGTTAAGCCTTGAGGCTTCGAAGACTCTGGTGTTTTACGACAGTGGCTCAGAAGCAACTTTCGAATACGTGGAATTTTAATAATGGTAAAAACATCGAATAACTTGCGTCGAAAACACAACTAACTGTCGCATCTAGCGCGTGTGGGGTGGCAAAGCGGTTGTCAGTGCGCATAACAAAAGCAGTTGCTCCTTTTTCTCGCGAAACATCTATCTCGCGAATTTGAATCATCGAGTCACGAGTTCACCCAGAACGTCCTCTCCTTGTACGGTGCAAAGAACGGTCTCGAAAAAGAAGACTCGTTCTCTCGAGCATTCCCTAAGATCGAAATTCTCAAGATCGTCGGTCCTTTGTCCGAGAGCCGAAGCTGCTCCACCTCGAGACAAAGATCTGCCCCTTTCTTCTTCGTACGCGTACTTTTCGCCTTTCCTTCCCGTGCACGTACGTGTCATAGACACGAAGACGAGTAGACGGGTAGACGCACAGGCGTCCGGACTCGGGTGCACGGATGCATAGACGCATAGATGCAGGCGATTGCGATCGAGCGAGTCGTCAAAGCATCGTAGCATCGTGTAGCAAAATCCGAGAGGATGCATGCGGAATAAAGAATACGTAGCTGGATAGACGAAAAAGACGGAGAAGGCGACGGTCGGCGAGAGTGGAGACTACTGTTGGAAGATGACTTGATTGATGTCTAGCGGAATGGCACAGAGACAAGAGGGGTCTTTCGCTGTGTTTTATTTATAGTTTCGATTGGATGCGCGTAACCGTATTGATGACCAGCAAATTAGCATCGTAAGAAAGATGAGAACTGATCAATCAGACCCACATTCCTCGGTCTAGCCATTAAGTGATCTCCCTACAGTAGCAACCCCGGGCAAGATCCACAGCACGCCCTCGTAAAAACAAGTGGACTGCCGGCTAAGTAGGGGAAAAAACTACTTACCTGGTGGACAATTGCATTCGGGTGTTTCTCTTTTGATTCGAAAGTTGTTCGACTCCGTCGAGTGCCGGTACAACTCGAGCTGCTTCTGAACCTCCTTCTTGAGCCTCTGGAACAGGACACCCGGTATCTCTTGATGTTCTAAACGAGCTTCCAAATTGGCGATCCTCGATTCCAAACTGAGTTCCCTGTACACGAGCAAACCGGACACGGCTAAACAGGTAATACAGAGGGCGAGCATCGGCCAAACGCGACATTTTTTCAGCGTCAACGCCTCGGCCTCGGAGGAGCCGTTTTTCGGCGACGGCCAGTCAGTCGCCGTGCCGGACTCCATGTTGTACGCGACGGACACACGCTCGCTTCTACTCGTGCACGCAGCGCGTTAAGCGCGCGTCATAACCCAGCCGACGACCGTCGATACGTCCTGACACGACAATCACGGGTAAGCGTGATACAGTGTGGAAACCACGCAAGTCTTACAGACTGTGCGGCGTCATCGTCCATCTGGAATGCATCTCGCACGGCCACTTGCCGTTATCGCTTACCTTTCCTTTCGACCGTCTTTCAAACCTTCCTTTCCTTCCTTTTCGCTTTTCGCTTTTCCTTCGTTCCTTCGTT